AAACCCCCCGAATATGTTCATCTCCTCAAAAACGAAACTAACAACTCCAATATGATTAAAGTTTATATTTCTATTTGTTATATTTCTATTTTTTTGCGCCAAGTCTATTAAAAATTATGCAACGCCTCTCCCCCGCATTTTTAAATAGCTATTTGTTTGCAGAAAAATTCCTACAGATTTTAAATTTTTTTATATAACATATTTTTGGAATTAAAAAATGCAAAAACAAATTTCAATAGAATTCCAATAGAAATTCAACGCAATTTCTCAAAAAAAAATTTCATATTACTTTTTTCAAGCAATAAACTCATTAAAAAAATGTAAAAATTACGCAACGTCCCCCGCATTTTTAAATAGCTATTTGTTTACAGAAAAATGTCTGCAGACTTTAATTTTTTTATATAATATACTCTTGGTATTTAAAAATGCAAAAAACAAATAGAATATTTCAATAGAATTCCAACAGAAATTCAACGCAATTTCTCAAAAAAAAATTTCGTATTACTTTTTTCAAGCAGTAAACTCATTAAAAAAATGTAAAAATTATGCAACGTCCCCCGGATTTTTAAATAGCTATTTGTTTACAGAAAAATGTCTACAGAATTTAATTTTTTTATATAATATACTCTTGGGATTTAAAAATGCAAAAAACAAATAGAATATTTCAATAGAATTCCAACAGAAATTCAACGCAATTCCTCAACGAAAATTTTCGTACTATTTTTTTCAAGAAATAAACTCATCAAAAACATAAAAATTATGCGCAGAACCCCCCGAATATGTTCATCTCCTCAAAAACGAAACTGACAACTCCGATATGATTAAAGTTTATCCGGTTAGGAGTGGCTCGACGAAATTGAAACATTTCTTATTCCCACGAGGGATTATCACATAGACGTTGCCTTCATTTCGGACCAGCGAATTCTATCGCAGTCCATTTGTAGAGGGGTCTTGCAACGGGAGTTCGGCTTGACGACGTCTGAGACGCGGAGACAAGAGCCTCGGGATAGGGGTTGCCCATTGAGATCTAGGGATGGCCTGTGCACGGAGATGAGGTGGATCCTTCCTATCCGAAGATATGGCAAAGTGGCGAGGCAACGAAGTGGATAGACCATAGGATTACTGAGGTGGCTTCTCAAATATGCTAACAGTGGCATTAACCCCGGAGCTTAGATGAGATTACCAAGTATAATGTCCCGTGCAACCCCTCCGCCAAAGGATACAGAGGGACTCTGTTACTTCTTAACGCTCGGGGAGAAGGCGAAACCGATGAAAATCCAAGTGTAATAATAATAGTAACTGCGTATTATGATTTTGCATGCGGCATGTTTGAATTCATTTGAATCGGGGAGTTGTGAATGAAAATGAGATTTTCATTTTTGCTTCCGGTGAATGGGAGCTTTGTCATTCGCTGGTGGAAAATTACACTTGAAATTGGAGTGAAAAAGCTGGAAATCTTTAACAGCGACGAAGGCACATGACATTTCTGAAGAATTCTTCATTGACGAATCAGTTCAATGAATATTTAAGTAATTAATTAATCCAATTTCAATTTCAATTTATTCAATTTCTTGAAAATTCAAGTAATTAATTCTCAATTTTCAGGCCCATACGGCACTGAAAAACCTTGAAAATGTTGAAAATTCAGACAATAACTTCTCTGAATTTTCAATCTATTGAAAATTGAATTGTATGTGATGATCAATTTTCACGATGAGTTTGGAAATTCAAGCTTTCATTGAAAAATCAATAATCGTTCAACATGAAAAACCCTATTTTCTTGAACTTTCAAGAGAAATTTTGTGAACGTTTTCATCTGAAATTGAATTCAAACTCACAATATTGAAAATTCAGATGCCATCGTCACTGAAATTTCCAGAAATTTCTAACAGCTCAAATTCATAGTTTGTATTTTTTGTGGTATATCAGCAGATTATGATCCAAAGAGTCGAAATGTCGGCTATTCTTTTTAGAAATTTTTGTCACATTTTAGTTTCACGGAAATTTCAAGGAATTTCATCACTGAAAATTCGGAATTTCACGAACAAATCAACGAGAACCGTAAAATCAATTCAATTACTCCCTAAAAATAAATATAAATCAATAAAATTCCTATAAAAATTTTCCTTCAGAAATTCTCATTCTTAATGCAACTCAAAATTTCGAAATTTCACTATTTTTCCCCGTAAATCGCATTAAATTCCACGCTCCTGAAATTTTTTGTTAACAGTCCACGTGTACGTCACAACATTTTTCTCCAACCCTTCCCTCATAAATCGATGAAATTTGAGGCATTAAAACACTAACCGTTTCCTTCATAAAAAAACGTTTTGAATTCGTCGATAAATCACGACGAAACCCCCCACAATAACTCTTCCCTCCTAAAAATCACTCCCGACAATGGATGAAGTTCTTTTCGTTAACGCTGTCCAGAGTCGGATAAAAACCCCAGGAATAAGAGGTACATGCAATGTCCCCAGGGCCAGATAAGACTGAGTGCGTGCACGATGTGGAGGCGTCGAGATAAACCGTCGTCTAGACGCTTATTCCGCTGGGTTATTTTCGAGTAGAGAAGAGGTGAAAAGTTAGACTAGAGTTCATCTCAAGTAAACCCCAACACACTGAGCTCACACGACTCACGAGAAGAATTTTTTTTCTTTGATGAAAAATGTGAGAAACAATTCTCTCAATTTTTTTTCCGCAGTTTCTTCTTTTTTAGAATTTCTAGTCTCATTCGAATGGGATTGTCTCATAATAAATTATTTCAAGGGAAAATAATAATAAATAATGATAACCATAACACTAATAATAATAATAATAAATAATTACTTGACTGTAAAAAAAATTCAAACATTGTTTTTTCCTGAAATCACTCGTTTAAAGACTAAATGAACGATAAAAAATGACTAACCACAACTGCTTCTCTTTGACTGATTAAATTCTCTTCGAGGGAATTTCGTTCCCTTCGTTTTTACTCAAATTTCCATCGCGGTGGACGTATCGCTCACCTAGATATACGTGAGTGAGGTAATCTCAAACAAAAGGTGGGTCCTCCCATCAAATAAATCACCGAGAATGTAATTCACTTGCGTCCAGTCTATGTTCCTCGTTCCCGAAGCTCTCGTGGTTCGTTTAGTCCTCTGGCCCATGGGGATGATGAATAAAACACCCTATTTCGAGCAGAAGCACTTTGAAGAGGCAACAATGGGGATGGAATTGGTGGGGGAGTCTGTCAATGTAAATATGTGCTCTATAATTATTCCTATCTGGGATTTTGATTCGCTTTTATGTATTTTATTTTATGTATTTTGTCTTTGAAAGGTGAAGATATGAAATGCAAAATATGAGACGAGGGAATTTAATAGTTTTATTTAATTTAAGTTTATCAAAATTGTTTTTTGAGTGCAGATTTCGTCGTGAATTTTAATCACCGCAAAATTAATTCCCTTTGAGATGAATGGGTGGATGTGGAGGATTGCCGTCGTCCTGATTAAATACCAAAGATTAGAGGATCGGTGGGATGTTTGCTGGAGCACCTGACGCGTTGGTGGCTCTATTGGGTGGGAGTTGAGGCTGAGGCATGGCCCGAGGGGGCCAGCCCAGCTGCTTAGACACATTCAGACTCCCTGCCCATTTTTAACTCCCTTTGACCTTTTGTTTGCTTTGGAATTTGAGTCACGTACGGATCCTTTGGCTCCACCAACGCGAAATTCACCTCGCACGAGCCACATTCAACCTCAAATAACCCTACCACATGTTTTACCCCCTCATTTTATCGTATTTCCGGTTGTTACTGGGAATTTTAACGAGGAATTATGATGAAATAAAATTCAGGAATTAAGAGGGGATTACTATGAGCTTTAAAAGTCAGGGGCTATTGGAATGCGATTTCTCATATATTGAAGATCGATTATATCAGTCTAAAAATGAATAATTAGTGTAAAAACATTGATTATTTATTGTTGCCCCGCAGACGATTAAAATGTTAAAAATTGTCCAGAGCCTCTTAATTTTGACCTACAGAGCTAATTTCGTTATTTTTTTAATAAAAAATTGCACCATCCGTGTAAAATGGCCCGAAAAATGTTTCTGAAAAAATCGAGAATATATTTTCAATATATTTAGGATAATTTTTCTGCCTATTTTACATGAATGGCGCAAATTTTTATTTTACACGAAACGATATTCGCTGTGTAGGAGCCGAATTTCAAGAAACTCATTCGTAATTATTATTGCATGTATTTTTTCAAAAATTTTGAGAAAAAAAGAAACTTTTGTAGCTCAAAAATGGGAGGCCCTGGACTATTTTTAATCTTTTAAGCGCGTGTGGGACAAACGAACAATAAACAATCAATTTTTTCCCTAATTATCCGTTTTTAAACATATATAGAGACAGAGATTTCGTTCAGAAAAATTATTCGTTCACAAATTCACTTAAACCTCTCCATTGCTGAATAAAAAATTTAGGAGAATTTGTAAATTGTTTTTTCTCTTTGAAAGTTGAGGGAAAAATCGTTTAATTTGTTCGAAGCAGTGAATGAGATGAATGAAACTGTTTCGTGAATATGCAGTTGCAGAACTTTATGAATTCAAGAAAAATGTCTCTAGAATCAGCATAATTGGAACCCGAGTTTGCTAATTTGAAAGAACATCAAAGGGAAGTTGTGAATGCCCTGGTGTTGACGAAACTGCAGTGAAACTCTGTGAAACAGTTACGTCCGAGTGATATCGATGCAACGAGTTGAATTTCCGAGAAGATAAATGATAAATCAAGGTGAGGAGTCGACTGTCCGAAATTAAAATGACAATTAAATTTCAAAGATGAGATTATCCGGTGAAATTTCTCTGGAAGTCTTCATAAAATTCCGCATAAAATACTCCACCATCATATGTATTCATCAAAGAAATTGTCGCAATGAATTATCAAATTAAAATTGAAAATGATCTGTTGTTTTCATGAGTTGTTCTCGCACCCAAAAAATTTATTCAATGCATTCCTCTCTCCTGTCATCGCGGTAATTTAACAATTTCACATGCTGACGACATCAGAACTCCATCGACTGATGATTCCCCACCCCGAGACAGTCGATCCCACCGTCAATTCCATTAACCACAGGGGCGGCACGCGTTGAGCGAAAGCGCTGGCACAGTTTTCTGAGTGCATTCTCCACATCCTCAATAGACATTCGAGCCTTTCCAGTTTTCTCCGCCATTTTTCTCGCATCCTCCAGGGTCTTCTCGATAACATCCTCCAGCAGAGTTGACAATACAGACTGCGCCTCTGTCGACAGTGTATGTCTGCGCTCTTCGGTGAATGGAAAAATGGCAGAATAGAAAACAAACAATCAGGGGTGGAAAATAAATCTGCGCCGGCATTTATATCGAGAAACCATTTCAAGGAGAAAAATTCAAAGAAAAAGATGACTTCATCAGACGTGTTCCCAAAATTTCGCAAACAAATAGCACAAAAAAATTTTTTTAGGGGGGGTTGGGGTAAAATGGACACTAGACTTTCTTTTATTATTCTTAACTCAGAAATAAATTGATCATTGAATTTTATCAACATTTCAACCCCTCATTAACATTTTAAAAAAAGTCAAAACTGTCCGTTTTACCCCAACCTCCCCTAAATTAATGGAAAATTTCGTTGTGATGTTTTTTAGATTAAAAAATTGTTTCCAGTCTCTTCAAAATGAATAATGAAATCTACTCTCAAAGTTTTAATAAAAAAATCATTGCAAAATGTTGGGCAATCTGAGTCGAATAAGTTTTAAAAAACATTAGTAAAAGAGAAAGGAAAAATTCTCCCAATTTTGAATTCTCCGTAAGAAAATTTTGAAAGTTATTTTCAATCTTTACTTTTCGGATTTCTACTCTTCCGAGACGGCTTCCTCACGCCACGCTGACGTCTTCCTCCCTCAGATTTACGTGACATAGCTTCTTGGGAATCCCGATGTCCTGTGTAAATTTAAACTGGCAATTGCATCCGAAACGTTTCAATGCACGCGAAATATATTGGGTGTCAAAGGCCTGCGTGTTACCGTGTTTACTAGCAAACATTGGATGGGTAAAAAATAAAATAAATGAAGAACTACCGTGGGCAGACAGAATAAGAATTGAAAATCGATGTTTACGGATGGAAGACCTTTGAATTCTTCCATTCGAGTTTGAAGACACGAGAACAAACAGAAAGCACTCGTTAAAAATGGAAAAGGAAATTGATAAAAAACCTGCACAACTAGCAGAAATAAAAATAATGAAAACAACAATGATTACATCGATAATTTACGATTAATTGAGATGAGAAAAAATGAACTCTTCATTGGATTGAAAAGAATAAAAATGCGAATCGATTTCATTTTCACTGGGAAATATTTTCGTTCATCGACAAGAAGTTATCGTTATTTACAGCATAAAGGTAATATAAACTCCATAATCGTTGATGAGATTCTTGGGTAGCCGCGGCACGTACAGACCTCCAAGGCGTTATCTTTCAAGACTTCCAATACAATTACTCCTTTAATATCCTTCGACGATGGTGGATATAGAAAGTATAATCGTCCACAACGCTTACGCCAGCATCAGCCACGATTACCCCCCGTCCCATCATCCATTCTAACATTTTTCATCCTCATTTTTCCTCTCGCGGCTCATTGTCCTGTATTCTAACAGGAACATTAATTTCCTTTTCCCGCATTTGTTTTCTTTCTTATTTTGATTCAACTTTTTCAAATTGATTGCCAAAAATTTTCATTGGTAATTTTATTTAACTGAATGTGTTACGAGACAATTTTATCTCATTTACAAAAATTAATGTAATTGAAATTGATTGAAAAAATTGTGTTTATTAATTTTTAGAAAACGTTTTCATTGAAATTCAAATGCATTATTTCAGTATTAATTAATGAATTCATTAATTGAATATATGATGAGACAATTTTACTTTATTTACAAAATTTAATTTAATTGCAATTTATTGAAAAAACCGTGTTTATTAATTTTTTTCTTGTACTGAAGAAACAATAATTGAATTAAAAAAACTTCTGCAATTTAGAACATTGACTTCAGGAATTTTTAACCCCAATAAATCGTGGGTGAAAAGATTCCCCTGGACGATATCCCAGTGGATTCCCTCAGCCGTCCCATCCCAGCTTTTTCTCAATCCGTAACATAATTCGTTTCGACATTTTGTTGCATTGAAAATTCTATTTCCCCAATGGGTGTGGAGCTTGATGAACAAACTTGCAAATTACAGATGCCAAACAAGAACGGATTAAGCCACTGAATGCATTCATCTCATCTCGAGCTTCGAGAAAATTAAATTAACATTGTTATACATATGTAAGTGGACTGCATTCACTCGCAAATACATAAGGAAATGTTCGACGTTCGCACGAAATCGCTGAATATTCCGGAGTTGATGAATATTTCGCAGAGCAGAGCAATTTTTCTTCATTCGAAAACAACATTTTTCAACGGAAAAAAATTACTCGACGAATTAACAATAAATGAAAAATAAGAAATTCGAAAAGAAGAGGAGATAATTAAATAAATAATTTAATTCGAGGAAAAGATATCCGTTTGTTTATCCAATTCTGTTGATCTGTTAAATTTCGATGAAATTCTCTCGGATTATTGAACCCCGCTGATTTTCCCGGATCTAATTCTTTTTCTTCATTTTCTTTTCCAGTTCTCGACTGCATTGTCTCAGGATGGGGTCAATGGTCAGCCTGCGACAGTGATTGCGGTCCTGGTGCTCAGTCTCGATCGAGAATTGTCGAGCGAGAGCCGGAAAATGGGGGAAAGCATTGTCCCCAGCTGGTGCAACACCGCGGATGTCAAGGAATAAAATGTCACAAAAGAAACCCAAAAAGTGCACTCAAAGGTAAATCACTCGGGGATTATTTCGCGAATATCCGGGGAAGGAAGAAGTTGAGAAAAAAATGTGATAAGAGATGTTTTGTGGGGAATTTCACGGGCTACAAAAAAGGTCTTCTGATAAATTCTCGTAAACCCCTTCGTTTCTCAGATATTTTCCAAAATATTCGGTCGTGTATTTCAAAAAATCAATTGATCTTGATTAAACTCGAAAACTAATTGTTTTAGAATTCAGTTTGATGTATTTTTTTCATTTTTGTTCAATATAAGCGATGAATAATCATTAATCATCAGCGTGAGGTACCGAAGAGTATAATTCACACGGTCGAGAGTCAGAGTTAGGATTTTAGGACTCTAATTGGTGACATTCCGTCAATACTCTACTACTCCGCCTCACGGTCTTTGATCGACTTGGGATAATTTTGCAACAGCCTCAGACCCCACGAGATACCCATCTCCATCGTACACATGTACGCAAAATCCTGTTGATGCGGCTATTCAGGGATTTCTAGGGCTGCTGTGGCCATAGAGAAGAGGAGAATCACTACCCCAGATGAGATAGGGAATTCTCACAAGTGGATTGTGAATGCATCCTCTGGAGTAGCGAATGTATTCAGGGGAATTTCAACTGAATATAGTTTTTCATACTCGAGGCGGATGAATTATTCGAGTGGCAATGGAAATTGTTACATTAAATATACAGAAAACTGAATTACCTCTTCCATAATTAGATAATTATGGAAGGGACAAGTGATTTAATTGAAAAAACGTTGCAAAAATATTTTTTAAAGTAATAAAATTTGTCACTTGAGAGATAAAGTAAAATGACTGGTTATTGAAATGATTTGAGGAGAAAAAATTCTTAAATTTTAGATTTCAGTGGAAATTCAGTGAGATTGCACATTTTTTTACAAAAAAATATTTTTTTTTACTAAAAAAAAAAAAATTCATCTGAATTTAATTATTAAATTTAATTATTAAATTGTTAAATTTGTAAAAATATTTTTTTTAATAATAAATTTTCTCACTTGAAAGATAAACTAAAATTCCTGGTTATTAAAATCAATTTGAGGAGAAAAAAATTCTTAAATTTAAGATTTCAGTGAAAATTCAGTAAGACTGCAGATATTTTACCAAAAAAATAAAGACAATTCATCTGAATTCAATTATTAAATATAATTATGAAATCATTAAATTTGCAGAAGTGGCACTACTCCTTCCAGCCGAGTTGAGTGAGATGCGTCACATAAACGACAGCAATGACATAAGAACGAACCTGCGATTGCGTTACAAAGACAATTCAGCGTACGACGCCTCCAAAGAGTGAGTATTACACCACAAGCAATAGAATAAATCATCTGCGGCTCATTAGACACTCGATCAAATGCACAGGAGTCTCTCCCCATACATGGGGGCCCATCCGCCAATTACCGCATGTAGGCTCAGGCGTCAATTACGAAAGACTTCTCACATTACCGTGAGAAATATAGAAATTCATCAATCGCAGCTGAAAATTTTGCTCACATGGATGCACGAAAGCGCACCCACCTGACCTGTGGCACTGTTGCCATGAATAATGAAGCCTCACACACTGTCCCCAATACCAACTTCTCTTCTCACTACACTCGGGAGTGCGCAAGGCTTTCGGTTGAATAATACAGGGTAAGACTGTGGTGCTAGAGAACACGGGAGAGAAAGTTAGCTGCGGAATGCTTGACGATCAGAGTAAAGTGGAGGAGATGATACAGGATGTAGATGTATCCTTCAACGTTGCACTCTGTGTTCTGTTGGGGATGGGAAGATTGAGGACTGAAAAGATGCACCAGGGGATGAAATAAATGGCCAGTGTACGTGAACCCCGAGTGCAGACATGATTTAGAATGTGGGGAGGGGTTATTTGGCTTNCCATTGGAGCCTGAGTTAATGAATATTTTACAATTATTTAAACTTTGAAAATCAGAAGTTGATTCGTTACTTTGGACTTTGGAAAAAATTTCAATTCAGGTATCTCGAAAACTATTATCGATAATAAAATCGTCAACTCGCCAAATGATCAATAAATTTCCACTTCAAATATCCCGACTACCTCAATCCAATCCCCTTTTCTTCCAGATTCTCTCGTCCAGAAAAAAATCCTCGAACTTTCCATCTGCTTCAGGTAAATAGACTGAGAACCCCGAGACAGGTGAGGTAGTTCGAAGGCAGAGGAGTCTTGAGAAGTTTTTGAAGAGAAAAGAAAAGTTTATGAGGAGTCAGGGCAAGTATAAAATTATAAACACAAAGTTGAAATGTTTTAAGAAGTTAAAGAGCCTCAGCTATTCCAACTTTTGTGAGACTGAGGGAAATAGTGGATGAGACGTTGGTATGCACCAGCTAGCGAAAAAATGTCAAGAGGGGAGCGAAGAAGAGGCAGAAGAAAAATGAAACGAAATTGAGGGTGATGAAATTGACGTTTATTACGAGTTCAACGAGGTGAAGAGGAGAATGAGGATGGGAGTAAAGCAGATATGACAATGTTGATAAAATTGAAACGTGAATAATACACCGGGATTCTCTATAGATATACCGTCGCGAAGGAAGGGGAGGGGGGGAGGAAGGGAGTGGGCAGGGACGAGAGTTGTTGGTATCCGCTTATGAAAACCCCAGGGGTTCAGAGTGCAAAGGAACTCGATGGAAATGCATCTTGCGTGAGAGATGAGATACCGGATGTGACAAACCATGAAGATCGAAGAATGAAATGAGGAGGCTGAATTCTGAGAGCAGACGGAATATTATGCTGTACGATCTGCTTCAATGTCGTTGACAATTGCGATCCTCGGATGGAGAATATGTTTTAAGACCGAGAGATTTTATCTTGCTGAGAGGGATGAATATTAGTGACTCGATATTCCATATCGCGGACAATTCAGGAGTTGCATCAACATTATTTTATGGAAATTTAATTATTCACACTATTAATAAAACTAATTAAACTGATTAATCTTGAAATTTTAAAAATCATTTGACCCAATTCATTGTCTATTTTATGGGATTAATTTAATTACTCAAACTATTTGAATATTTAGTTAAATGAAATAGGTTCAACGTAAAATATGAGAATCGAAAATTCATGTACTGTTAGGAAATAAATCTTGAATTTTTAAAAATTGAGACCATTGTTTTCAATTTTTAGTTCGCTGAAATTTCAGGATTATTTGGAAATTGAAGCTGTCATTGAAGATGGATTTTTTTTTTTAATTTCCATTAACCTACACTGAGAGAAAAACAAACACGTTGTCAAACAAGTCTTGTTTGGGCCAACAAAATCGCTAGTTGAAAATTGCCAAAAAAGAATTTGTTTGGTTCGAATTTAGAAGTCTCAAATATGAATAATTGTTCTGCTTTCGACAGCAACGAAATATTTGGCTCAAGAGGCGGATAATTTAGACCAGACAGTGCCTTTTCAGGATGAAAATATCTCATATAGAGGAAAATTTTCAACAAATATTTTATCCCTAAGTTATAAGATTGCTATCATATCATTATTATTGTTTCATTTAAGGGTTCATTTGTTGTCTGTGATTATTAGACCGACGAAACGAAAAACTACTATCCCTTGTTTCGCATAAAACAAAGATTTTTCGGGAGCAAAATACGTATGGGAGTATCGAATAACGAATGAGTAGTGCTAGAAATGCCATTTCCTGCGTGTACAGAGAATGCAATTTTTTTTTGACCCACTAAATCTATTTTTGCGACAAAAATTTTTCATTCCGGCTCACTCTCTCCATGTTTGGCGCAAATAAATCCCTTTTCGATACTTTTCAAAAGACGATTTTCTTAGCACAAGTGAGACTTGTTTAAGAACTTTGTCGTTTTTCTCTCAGGTCTTTCTATTAAATTTTACATACTCGTGGGTTTATAAAAAATCGTTCAATCATTTGACCCAGTTCATAGTCTACTTCGATCTGTTTCCTGGAGTTGATAGATCCCACTCGATAATGGAGTATCGCCAACACAAATGTAACACAATAAATTTGTTTGCAATCCCCTTCACTCGTCTGTTTGCCAGTCTCTTGAATGGCTGTACATACTCGTTGAATGTTAACCCAGTGATGTGCATTGACGATGTACGCATACCGTCTACTCACGTACTCCCCCCTCCCTCCCCCCGGCCATTGTTCAGTAACCAGGCTTGGCACTAGACACTCATACCCCGGATCCAGAGTGGCCCTCCTTTCAATGGTTTTCCAACTTCTCCTTTTGCACAAGAGAAAATGTCTCTTCTCTGCCGTGCAGACGATTACTTCCGGCATCAAATGCACGGCTTCCGGATGAAGAGTGCATCGTGCCGCGAAAAATGAGAGACACTTTGCGACGATGTTGAAGCGTTTTACGGGTGCGTCTCAATTTTTTTTTATTCATTTGCTTTCGAGGTTTCCGTCGGCTGTTTTATTTGATGCAAATTGATTGGATGGGCCTGTGCGTCACTCATGTGCATAGTTTTGCAAACATGGGATCGTCAGTCTGTCGATAAATTCTTGCTGACGCGACGCGTACAGCTTTGTCTAGACTATTTTTTCAGCTTGTAATCTAGTAAAGTGCTCAATTTGATGGGAAAACGTATTGAAATTTTTAAGGGAGTGGGGGGCATCAAACAGGAGAATCGCGGGGATTTACATGATATCTGGATTTTTTTTGATTAAATTTTTTTTATTTTTATTATTGAATTGAGTGGGTGAGGGGCTCTAATCCGCGAAAGCAAAATTTCTGCGGGAATTTAAATAAAAAACAGTTTTTAATCAAAATTCTTCACAATTTCAAGTATTTATCAAACAAAAGGAGAAGCAATCAATGCTTGTGCAAGAAAATCGAAGAAAAGAAGTCATTTTATATTTTTTTCTGATTTTACATTTTTCATCTTTTGCCTGAAATTAATAAAAAAAAGCCTTTAGGGCTGAACTATTTTCAATTTTGACTGAAACAATTCACAACTATTCCCCTCAACCCCTCTATTATTGACCTAGAGCAGCAAATCAAATTAAAATTTCCTCTGCATTCAGTAATTTCATTATTACAAAAAATATTAAACTGTTGGGCAATTGTAGGATTTCCTAAAAATATAAATTTCATCCACAAAATAAATGGAGAAGCATTTGATTTTTGTGGAGGAAAGTCGAAGAAAAGAAGTCATTTAATATTTTTTTCTGATTTTACATTTTTTATTTTTTGCTTGAAATTAATAAAAAAAGTCTTTAGGGATAAAATATTTTCAATTTTACCTGGAACAATTGTCAACTATTCCCCTCAACCCCTCTATTATTGACCTAGAGCAGCAAATCAAATTAAAATTTCCTCTGCATTCAGTAATTTCATTATTACAAAAAATATTAAACTGCTGGGCAATTGTAGGATTTCCTAAAAATATAAATTTCATCCACAAAATAAATGGAGAAGCATTTGATTTTTATGTAGGAAAATCGAAGAAAAGAAGTCATTTAATATTTTTTTCTGATTTTACATTTTTTATTTTTTGCCTAAAATTAATAAAAAAAGTCTTTAGGTATGAAATATTTTCAATTTTACCTGGAACAATTGTCAACTATTCCCCTCAACCCCTCTATTATTGACCTAGAGCAGCAAATCAAATTAAAATTTCCTCTGCATTCAGTAATTTCATTATTACAAAAAATATTAAACTGCTGGGCAATTGTAGGATTTCCTAAAAATCTAAATTTCATCCATAAAATAAATGTGCACGTGTCGATAAAAAGCACCCTGCTACTCTCAGAATATTGAACGGTTAAATAACCGTGCGCTTATTCAGCACGTCGAGAATGCCAGTAGTACAACAGCGAGATTGGTCGGACATGCTTTCTAAATTCGTTCCCACCAGAATGTCCACATTCGTGCACCCCACGTATCTAAATTGGATTATCGTTATCTGCCGGGACTCGATGGGTATTTACATCACTGGTTGTTATCGATAATCGAACTTGAAATTCTGAGAACTTAATTTCCTCGAAAAGTACATTAGCGACACAGCGGGATCGATGGGGGCGGTTTAGCTCCGCAAGCCGAGGATAAAAATCGACAATTTTCCCTTTTCTCCTTTTATCGATATTTTCATATTTTTCTTTTGCCTTTTCTCTCGTTTTTCATCCAGCGTTGTCATCGGCTATGGCTTTATGAAATGGAAACTCCAATACCCGGTGGAAACGATCAAGAAGATGAGATTTTTTTCAAGTTCAAAATAAGAAGACATTTTTAGAATGAAATTTTTTTCAAAAATTATTGCGATGGAATCAGTTGCTTTTCGCGTTTTTTAATGAAATTTTGTGAACGAATTCCATTGAGAGAATATTCTCGAGTAGATGAACATCATCATTTGATTAAATGAAGCAATGCCCATCAAATAAATCGGTAAAGGAAATTCTCCTCTGGTATAAGCAAAACTTGTTTTACCCATAATTTCGTATTTTTCTTTTGCCTTTTCTCTCCTTCTTCACCCAGACTTGTCATCAGCTACGGCTTTATGAAATGGAAACTCCAATACCCGGCGGAAATGCTCAAGAGGATGAGATTTTTCTCAAAAATTGTTGAGACGAAATGAGCTGTTTTTTTCAATTTTAAATTTTTTAATGAAATTTTCCAAACAAATTGCATTGAAAAAATATTCTTGAGTAGGAAAAGATAATTATATAATATAATGAAGCAGTATCATACATTTTTTTTCTAATTAAATATAAGAAAAAAAAACTAGAATGAAAAATTTTTTCAATTATTGAAACGAAATAAGTTTTTTGTTCGTGTTTTCAATTAAGTTTTAACAACAAATTTCACTGAAGATTTGTGAATAGGAAAGGATAATTATGCGATAAAATAAAGCAATATCCATCAAATAAATCGGCAGCGAAAATTCTCCTCTGGCATATGCCCCAGCACTCTTGTTTTTCCAATCCCTTTTAACTTTGAAAATCGATAACTCTTGGTGTATTACATCCGCAGGATTCCGATGATATACATGTTGAAGTGCACATGGCACTAGTGAATGAAAACGTCCACGGTACCTAACTCAAGCATTTTCGATATTACATCCATCCCGGGAATGAAAAATTCGTGAATATTAAAAAGTAGCAAAAGAAAAGTTCCGACATGCATCCTGAAAATTAAAGTGTTTTTTTTATCCTCTCTCTTTCTTTTCCATCCTCTTTCAATATTAAATCCATTCTCAAATGAAATTCACTACCAATAGAGCTCTCAGTAATCTACGGGAAATTTTTCCTGTACTTGATAGCTATGAATAAGCCCGTGAATCCTTTTCCACGTGGAAAAAGGGAGAAAGGGAAAATGCTGGATGGGATCCAGTGCGTCATGCTCTTTATGTATCTCTTCGGGAGAACATTTCGTTGTCAGAATTTTTATTATTAAAATTTGAATCTTGAGAATGCACTGATATCAGGGGGAGAATATGGAATTAATTCTTTGGAGTTGGTCGCACTTTTGTTGACTTTCATTAATGTTCATGTAATTCAGGGAAAATTCACTCTGAGAAAATGGGTGCCATTGTAACAATGATTTGAACATTACAAAAAAAATTATTTTAATATAAAATCCATTGAAAAAATGAAAAAAAATACAGAGGAAAAATCTGCAAGAATGAATTGCAATTCATCGTAAAATGGAAATTGAAAAAAAAATTATGGATGAGATTCAGTGTGTCATCTTCTTTATGTATCTCTTCGGGAGAATATTTCGTTGTCAGAATTTTTATTATTAAAATTTTGGAATTAATTCTTGGAGTTGGTCGCACTTTTGTTGACTTTCATTAATTTTTATGTAATTCAGGGGAATTTCACTCTAAGAAAATGGACGACATTGTAAAAATGATTTGAATATTACAAAAAAAATTATTTTAACCCGAAATCCCTTGAAAGAATGGTAGAAAAAATTGCAGAAGAAATTATTCTCACATGAAATCCCCCAAAAAGGGGTAAAAGTTGAAAAAAACTGTTCTCAATTCCCAAACGAGACATTAACCCCCTCCGCCCGGCAGTTCCTCAAAGAATGCTCGGACCACAATTTCCAATTCGTTCCGAAAACGCTTGATCCTTCAATTGAAACAAGTATACGATCTTGAAGCACCACCTCCACCAGTTTCCCCATTATATTCCCAGCAACCTACACGCCCCGAAGTTCTTCACCCCCTGGCAGTGCGAGCGAGAGGCCAGATATACCTCCGGCGGATCTCTATTGGGATTACGATTGCACTCGGTTCATATCTAAGTTTGCGAGCGTTCGAAAATAAACTTTCTGAGGGACTGAAGAATTCGCGCCAGCCGCCCCCTGTCCATTTTTCTTTGGCTCAGTTCTCTCCCCTCTATTTTATCATCATCGTAACTCCACTGCTCTTGCGGACGCCTAGAGATATACTATAACTTGGCTATAAAGCTTGGAAAAACTCATCCAAGACGAAGGGCAAGAGGCCATCGTGTCGATGGTTCCGTCAATCTCACGAGACGGTTCAGTTTTCGATTGAAAAGTTTCATTTATCAGGATTCAATTTATGGGAGATTTTTATCCCATGCATTTTTTCGTGCAAAAGTTATTGAAATAGATTATTTAAACTACAAGAACTTCATTGCACGAGAAAATCCACAATTTCTTGAGTTCTTTTATGTCATAAAAATTATTTAAAAATTGCCACCCCCTTTTAATTCAATTACAATTAGGTCATACCTCCCTAGACTTCGGAGGGAGTTGAGTCACTGTGAAGTACTACTTCCGCTCCGGTGACGAAAATAATTTGTTTGTCAATTTATTCACGACATTATTTTTTAAAAATGTTCATTTCTACCAAAATCGTGAAAACTCATTTCTGCTGACCACTAATTTCATTTCTCAAGACGCAAATTCTACGAGAGATGGCGTTGACGGAGCCGAGTTGTGACGTCACTCAGGCATTCATCTGAGGATTTTAAATTAATCACTATTCAATCATCATTGTTGTTAACGAAAAGACACGAATTGACGTTTTTTTAGCTGAGAAATTATTGGAAATAAGTTATCGACTGAAAGAATGAACGAATTTCATAAAATAATTATTAGACTCAACTCCATCAAAAGAATGAAGACATACACTGTTAGAAAAAAAAAGAAATTTCATCGACAGTTGACTACCAATTTTCAGGACAGTGACACTGAATGCGATTTAGGGGGAAAAAAAATTATGAAATTTCAGATTTCACTGAAAATTCAGTTAAATTGCAGAATTTTAAGGGGGAGGAAGACGAGCATTCCTTAATTTATTTGAATTTCCCATCTAATATGAATATTCAGTGTCAAATTCCATTGAATTTTCAGTGAAATCTGAAATTTCACGATTTTTCCCCCTAAATCGCATTCANATTATGAAATTTCAGATTTCACTGAAAATTCAGTTAAATTGCAGAATTTTAAGGGGGAGGAAGACGAGCATTCCTTAATTTATTTGAATTTCCCATCTAATATGAATATTCAGTGTCAAATTCCATTGAATTTTCAGTGAAATCTGAAATTTCACGATTTTTCCCCCTAAATCGCATTCAGTGTCACTGTCCTGAAAATTCAAGAATATATTTACCATTATTTTCTGGGATGAATCGTAAGGAATGCTCTTTGCGTAATTTCATATGTAATTTCATAAATCGCATAATTTTTTTCTGGTTTTCTATTCATTTTCAGGGAAAAATGGAACGGAAATTTGCAGTTTTGTTTCATTTTTCCACGAAATTCTGAATTTCCAATGACAAGATTTCCCGAAATTCCAGTGGAATTGCAACACGATAAAAATCTCCCGAATTTGACGCGGAAAATTCAGACAAAAATGTTCAGCAGTGTATTTGACTCGAATTCTTTCCGCCCAATTTCTCAAGGAAAATCATTCCCTCTGTTCCAGATACTGTGTGACATTCACCGTGACCAAGGCATCAAAAGCATGTGTCAAAGAATCCGGTCTCTCCGAGTTATCGGAAGGTAAGAATAAGAACAATGGAAAAGCAAAAAGAGAAAGCCTCCTAAGCCAGATAAAACTGTAGAATGGCGAAGATGGAACAAGATGTAGGAACATGAAATGCTGCTATCAAATGTTAGCTATCGGTCTCGTCATCGTTTCCCGTTTGAGAGCCCCAACCCTCTCCCATTGACATTACTTTTCTTTTTCATCCTCTTATCGCTTCGTTCGCCAATCGGAAAAATCGCTCCTCCCTCCCCTCCTCCCGGTGCGCGGCAATCGATGATGCCCGCAAAAAACGGCAGAATTTACGATATGAAATGGAGATGGACGTATGGTCCCGCGGATCGAATTAATCTAAATAAACGAGAGCAATTTGCATCGAGTGGAGTTACTGCAGTGGAGATCCGGCGTTACGAAATTGGCGGAAACCGGTTTGAATTTAGCTTGACTGACTGGAGGGATATATGGCCCTCTCGAGCCTGGGGAACCCTGGCCCCATACATATGCATGGGGTTCTAACGTTCTCATTTGTGTTACTGAGCGTAAGTAGTACGGACCGAGGCATCAGCCGCGTCAAATCGACTGTAAACGGTTCATCTATTTGCTGAGGCGGGGCACTGAGAATTTATGTCTTACATAATTTTATTTTATTTTTTGTTTTGTTTTATATATATTTTTCTCATCATTTTATTTTATGTTATGTTCATTTCATGTTCTTTCTTTCTCTATGTTCATATTTTTATGTTCACAATTTTTCTTTTTTTTTATGAAAAATTATATGCATAAAAAAACCTAGTGAATGCGTCGGAATTCTATTCGAATTTCTCTTTATGGACAATTTCTAATAGAAACTATTTGTAAAAGAATCAGGAAAATTAATTCTCTACCATTTTTCCTGTGGGAAGTCCTCGACATGAAATTTCTAATTTTTCTTCACTCTATTTTTTCTTTTCACTGAACAAAATTGAACAAGAATGGTATATCTGAATAGAATAACTTAAAAATTGAATTATTAATTCAGTAGTGAAGTGGTAAGCGGAGATAAGTCGACTTATCTCCCAGTTGAGTTTCTGAGGAATATTTCCAAATCTAAGGGAGATAGCGAAATTTTCGTAATTATATTAGTTGTAGCACTCAATCGGCTCCACAAAAAAGGTTATAACAAAAATTTCGCTATCTCCCTTAGATTCCGAGATATAGATTGAAAACTGGTCAATACTCAAAAGTGACTTATCTCCTTTTTCCACTTCGCTACTGAATTAATTCTATCCCAATACAAAAATTCTATCGATTATTTCTACCGAATCGTCTTCATTGAACATTTCTATTGAGCGAAACGTGCAGATAAGCCGCAGAATTCTCCAGCCAAGTTAGAAAATTCGTTGGGTTTTCTGAAATTTTTTCGTACGTGAAACCGCATGATCCCCACACTCTCTCTATTTTTCACCATCCTCCCCCTTCAGCTGTAATTCTTCATCTCGTCTCATCTCAAAACAATTCGAACAACAACTGCTCCGATACGACCGCGATCGCTCGCTCCTAATGACCCCCACAACCAGATTTCATCGCCAGTCCATCTCCATCAAGTTTCAAGACGACTTGTTCTAATGAGATTTTTTTTCCCCCCACCAGGCTCGCGGGTGTGTGTGCGCTGTCAGACCCAGGCGCTGCGTCGTGTTCTCGACTGGCGATGTGAAGGTGACGGTGGTACCGAGGCAATGATTACCAGATGGAGCATACTTTCTACACCCCACTGTCACGGAAAATGGCTTCGTACTAAAAAAACCGGACCCGAGTGTGATGCCTCATTGTGCCAGCCCAAGCCACATTTCATCTTTGTCTGAGGTGCATTCGACTCTCCCCATCCATTTTTATTCACCACCATCATCATTACTCTTCGAAAATACGAGAGTCCAATGATGCTCAAGTCAAGATGCTGAATCAAAAATTGGTGAACGCTTCCTGGCGACGCAAATCGTTTTGTTAATTCGGAAATTATCCAGAAATCGTTCATTTCAAAGAGTTCACTCAATGCTTTGTTCTAGAAATACAAATTCTCCAGAACGTTTCGTAATAAACAACATTTTCACGTTTAAATCGAAACGAGAAATGATTTATTTGAATTCAATAAATTTATTCACATTATGTGAATAGTATTTTTAAATATGAACAAATGTGTTGGCGATTGGAGTGGAGACTTCATTAGTTAGAATTAAAATCTTTTGGGATTAATGAAATTGTTTAAATTGCTTATTTTATATTAATGGAAATTTTTAGTTGAAAAAATTGTAATGTTTTGTTCGATTCAGATGCATCATTTCTCTGGCTGAATCATTTCAATTCCCTAATTCATGATATTTTAGTAAAATTCATTTAAAAACAATTTTGATTAATTGGAAATGATGTTAAGACGCGAAGACACATTGAATGATTAATAACAACAGGTATATTCGTAAGTTATTTTATAAATTGAGTCCACATATCAAAGAATGTATTTTTTAGCCAATAAGCAATAAAGTCATACATGTGGTAAATTCCATGAATTTTCATGTCCACCTCGTGCCTCCCGCATTCCCCATTGGAATCACTCATTTCTGGTTGACGTCCTTTCTTTGCTCGTTGGAGCGTTTTAGTTTTAATTGCCAACTTCCTGTACAGATCCGTTGCGCGTAATGGTTTCCGTCGAGCTTAAAAGCCCCAACCGGCATTTAACTTTGGCAGCGCGATTTTCACGAGCACCCAGTAATACGTCTTTATGCTGATGTTACCGGCAACCACAGCTTTGTATCAATAGTTGCGTGGGTCTTAATGGATTCCTTTGAGGGCTCGAGGCTTTTCGAAAAAGACGTTTGAGGATTTGGGTGAGTCTAAGTGGAAAACTTTGGTGAATCCATTTTTGTCATGTGAACTCCAAGAGGGGATTGATTGAATTGCGAGGATAGTGGTTGTGTTTGGAGCATTACTTCGATGAATAACGATTCTAGAGTCTCAATTTTATTAATTTCGGAATGTTCAAACGCATTTGTAGGGAGGAGATTCATCAAATTATTTTTTTTCATTTCTGCAAAAATTTAAACTCCGTAAAATTCATTTTTGTTATGGGAATTCCAGGGGAGGTACACAGCAACAACGAATGTCTGAATTTCACTCACCTTTTGTAGACATTTTTCAGACACTGAAAGTGATTATACGACGCGAAGTCGTAACAGTCAATTTCGCCTAAAGAATATTTAAAATTACAAAAGCGCAAAGTATAGGAAACGCGTTGAAATCATAAACGTAAAAACTTTTCTGTTACGAGCACCTGTGAATCGTCGTAAATTATAATTCACTTATTACCAAGAGGTGAACGTCATACCGTGTACGTCGCAACCTAAACGCCAACCCAGGGAGAGCTGGTTAACGAGTTTTTATAATGAGTTCGCGATCGGACTGACGGGCTTCCAGCACATGATTACAAGTGCGAAACTCGTCATGAAAGAATATTTCAAACACGTGGAGGAGTTTAATTGGTTCGGGGGGATAATTTTTCAATATTGTTCGCGAATTTCGATGGCTGTGACGAAGACTGAAAATTCATCGAAAAGTGTAATCAATTTTCCTGCATCATTCGGATATGCATGAATTTATTGGTAATCATGATCGCTGCGAGGCTGATGGAGGTCATCACCGTCGACTGCAGGCACGTTCACTGGGAAATGAATGACTAAAATTCGTAATAATTCATCTCATTACACGAAATTAATTTCTGATGTAATAAATCGAGATGATACACCGTTTACACTAGAACATTTGATACGAACAAATTGTATAAAATATTTCTAATTAAATATTGGAAAAATATTAACATCTTCTCCAATTGTTCATAAAAATGATGAAGTTTGTATCGCGATGATGAAGTGTTTGAGTCTGTGAAGTTGCTAAATTCCCTGATAATTAATCATACTTGATGACATCGTGAAGTGAATTTACAAAACACTGTCCGCAGATATTCCCCCGCAATGTCAGTACAATAATGCTGGTAAATGTCCAATTGCACTCTGAGAGCCCATCAGCTCGTCTCAAATTAAATAACTGAACCATTATTTCAGCATCTACCTGCACTGCTGCTAACACTGTTTTTGGTAACGAATAGCACTAACCAAATAGTTCTGAATGGACTTCTGCTGGGTTACAACATTCCTGGCAAATAGCTTTCGGTGTGAAACAATGATCATTGACGATGGGTTTTGTCGTTGGACAAATTGAATATGTGTTGGTGAGTGTCAGAAAATTTAAATGGGGATTCAAGCATTATCAATTCAGCTTTTTCTATTCAAGGGGAGACTACTACGAGTTTTTAAAGTCGTGGGAAATTGGAGGGAGATTTCTCATGAATTGTAGATCGATTTTATGTCTAAATAGTAATAATTAGGGCAACAAAATAATTGTTTATTGTTCGTTTGCTCTGCGGACGCTTAAAATGTTGAAAATAGTCCAGGGCCTCCAATTTTTGAGAGAGGTTTTTTTTCAACATTTTTTAACAAATGTGTACAATAACAATTACGAATTAGTTTTTTGAAAATCGACTCCTACACAGCTAATTTCGTTTTGTTTGATATAAAAATTTGTGTCATTCATGTAAAATAGGCAAAAAAATTATGCTTAAAATATTAAAAATATATTCTCGATTCTTTCAGAAATTTTTTCTGACTATTTCACACGAATGGTGCAATTCTTTATTAAAATAATTACAAAATTAGCTGGGTAGGAGTTGAATTTCAGAGAACTAATCCGTAATTGTTGTTGCACCATATTTTTTCAAAAATTTTACAAAAAAAAGGAACACTAGCTCGAAAATTGGCGGCCCTGGGCCATTTTTAATATTTTAACCGTTTACGAGGTAAGAGAACAATAAACAATTAGTTTTTTTGCACTAAATCATTTTTAGACATGTGTAATCGATCTTCAGTGTATGAGAAATCTCATTCCAATAGCCCGGGACATACAAAACTTATAGTAGTCTCCCCTTAATGAAAATTTATTTAAATGAAAAACAATTACATGAAGTAATAAATTAAGATGAAGGGATTATTATTTCCCCTTCCAATACTTAAAGAATGAATTAACTGATCTTTTCTGAAGAAAAATCATTTCAAAATAAATAAATTGCTATAACACTAGCCCGATAACGAAGGATAACAAAGAGTGGCTCATATTTGTTGCGATTCACTGGGCCGTACGAATAAATCGATTTTCTCACCTCTCCTGAACTTGAGATTGAACGCATCGAGCAGAACCCGTCAATTGGTCCACAATAACAGACCCACCCCCTCCTTTTTCTCGACAAAACACTTTTTCATTTTGCAATCACAATTTTATGTCCCCTCCTCTGTTTTGACTGTAAATTCATCTTCCATTTCCCGTAAATGAGATTTCCGCGTCATTTGGAGGAATTGATGGGTCCATAATTGTTTTTTAACATTTGGAGGGAAATCAAAATTAAATTCAGTAAAACTGAATATTGATGGGCTGCGCACCGTAGCCAGAGCATTGTTTCGGTAAATGGCCTAGTTGACGTTAAATCACATGCATAACGCAGTCCAGTCCTGGATTATTTTTCGACGTCCACAGGGATTAGACAAAAGAGATTGCATTGTGCTTTTAATAACAAAAAACAGCGTCAGGGGAGGCCTCTGCATCCCATTTTGTCCTCATCCCGGGTGCTCTATTATGGTTTCAGTATTTGATTTATTTTTTATGGGATTGAATCCAATGTCTGGGTCTGGGAATCCAATAGCCGGTGCTTTCGTCGGTCTAGTGTTTTTCGTGGGATTTATTCGTGTTTCAATCATACGGAATTGTGTTCTTTTCCGGGTGATTTTGTATCTTGGAAGTGCTTCAAACCCTCGAACATCTGCAGGGCTAGGCTGGCTTATTTCTCCGGTTTATTGAAATTCCGTATTTTTGAACACCAGGGAGACGACGTTTCCTCAACCTGCTTGAGCTTTCAATCAAAGCATGATTATTCTGTATCAAATTCCTCGGGTTTTTTGTTGAATAATAATTCAGGAATATATATATTTGAGTTGTTTTTCATTTTCATGGAGTGATATCTGAAATTTATAGTTTCCATTTAATTTTTAAACAAATTGTGAATTTTCCCGTACGAAATTCCCGGAAATTTCAGTGAAACAAATTTTTATGGAATGATTTAACTAAAATTCCACGGCATATTGAGGTAAATAAAAATTCAAAAATATATTTATTGGAGTTGTTTTCTATTTTCATAGAGTGATACCTGAAATTCATAGTTTCCATTCAATTTCTAATCAAACTGTGAATTTCTCAGTTAGAAATGCCCGGAAATTGCAGTGAAACAATTTTTTATGGAATAATTGAATTTATGGAATATATGATTTAATTTTATGGAATATATTAATTATTATATGTAATATACATAAATTATTGATTCAACTAAAATTCCGTGGAATGTTGAGTTAACTAAAAATCCAAAAAAATATTTGTTTGAATTGTTTTTCATTTTCATGGAACGAATCAACTAAAATCCACAGAAACTGCAAATAAATGCCATTCATTTTTCAGGAAGAGTTTCAGGAACAGTTTATCTGAATTAACTAAAGTTCAAGACAAATATCTTCGAATGTTCAGCAAAATATCAAGGGAAACGCAACGTGAATGTGCGATGCAAATTCACTGATTCATTCGTCATTACTTTTTATCATTGATTGGGGAGAAGTAAAACTCCCCGCAATTACAATGTGAATATCAAATTGCCCCCCCCCCCCCGCTCGAGTATGGCTAACGAATGTTCAACAGCAATTGATTAAAAACTCCCGATAATCGAATGAATATTTGAAAAAAATATCCGTCAATTCGCCCGACGGATTTCGTTTGAATAGCGAGCCAATACCAGAAATTTTTGTTGCTTACAAAATGGATACAATTTCATTATTCGCGTTTGTGTAATTCCACACGTAAATTGGAAAAGCTCCCTGAGAGGAAAAATCCGCCGGAAGCACACGAAACCACCGTCCGCTGCTATAAATCAATTTCCAAATGAATTTAAAAAAAAACGAAAACTTTCTGACAATCATGTGCCGACATATTCACACAGCCTGCCTTTGGCAATCATCACTTAATTAACTAATAATCACAATAGCGAACAATTCACGTGACGGGAGAAATGAGCAAATAGAGAAGCATAGCACGGAAGCGAGAAAATGAAAAAGATATTAAAGTTAAATAAAAGAGTTTTTCGTCTCAAGTTTCCGGGGAAGTATCGTTGTAAAAATTAAGATGGCGGACGGAGACCCGGGGTCAATAACGGATTATTGGCTTCCTGTATCCAGCGTCTCTATAGCTATCGTGAGATACTGCAGGACACGTGAAGAACCAGCGGGGTAAATTGTAACCGGAGAAAATAGAGGGAAAAATAATAGTGTCGTATTACCAGTACTTCATTTTGTCACCAGAAATTTAATATTGATAATTTCAGCGGGAAAAAAACACGGACGATGAAAATTATTCCACA